AGTTGAGCTGCTTCTTCCTTACATCTCTGCTCTCCTGGCCAAAGATCTTGGCTCTCCTATTCTTAGAAAGCACACAGGTATACACTCACTCTTTTCAGGTCCTTCCTTCTTTTGGTTCTTCTAATAATACTAAGTCTTCAGCATCTGCCTGTTCAAAACTCTTTCTCTGTTTGTTTACCAAACTCTAGCTCATATCCTAGTTGCAATTGTGATGATTTATGTTATATATCTCAAGTTAAATTAATTTCTGTATTGTATATTTATCATTAAAGCTACTCAACACAGTCTGACTCATGAATGTAAAATGTCATAGTTTTTGACACATAACATAAAAGAAATTATTAATTTACATGTAAGCTGCAAAGCACTTTGTAATTTTAATATATAATGCATTTAATTGAAGATATTTCATTTTATATATCAAATGTATAAAAAAGTTGTTTAAATATACTTTGATGTATCCGCAACCCAAACCAGTGTTTTCTAGGTTACTTATTACTATACTGCATATCTTAAAATATATTTGCAAAATACTTTCAATATAAACCCAAGGATGAATTCCTAAAATGTGGAGAATAATTACAGTGATAAGTCAATTAGTTTTATTTTATTGTTGAAACATTTGGATAAAACTTTTACCTATTTTTAAGGATTATATTGTATTGAATAGGTCAATTGGGTGCTAACTTTGACATTAAATTAAAAAGGTTGAAGTAAATTTTAGAAGGGGAATTCTTCTTTTATACAGTGAATATTATACTTACCCATATTGCTCCTTTCTGGAATTTTCTAGGAATATTGTGACTGAAATAGTGTGATGTTTGATGAAGGATATTCCTGTCATCCTGTTCAAGTTCCAGCTCTGCAAATACTTCCTGTCCCTGGTGTATGATTTCCTCCTTCAAATCTTGAATGTGGAATGATCTGCAACCACTCCCAGCAGCAGTGACTTCTGAGGCTGTCAGAAAGTGTCAGCAAACAGGACAACTATTGGGATGCGTCAAGAACTAAATAAAGACCAGGGACTGAATAAAGCACCTGGACACAGAAAACTATACATCGTCTTCTTGGCTTCCTTTTTGAAAATTGGCATATACAGTGTATTTTTAGCAGGGATGGGATGATTTTGCTTAATGCTCGACAGCTGCTCATTAGGCAGATCAGAAAGAGATAAGCAAGATGGCATATTGGTTAAAATTGCAGAGTAGGTGCCAGGAGTACTAGATTTCACGTCTTGCTTGCTAACCTTGAATGACCTTGAGGACTTATTTTCCCCTTGCTCTTCCCAGCTTTTCTAGGTTTAGAGTTGTGATAAGAACACTTTCCCAACATCTCAATGGTGCTAGTCGGAATCTGTAAAGGTTTGAGATGCTTGAAGTGACAGATTCCAATTAAAATTACTGACCATGCAAGATGCCTCTGTGGCTATCTCATTTAGATAAGATCCTCAAGAAAGTATTAAGGCATGCAAGGGATACAAGCATAGAATTGTTGAGGAAATAAAATTTGATTTGCTAAAGTCTATCCTTGTAGAGGCTGAAATTATTTTTAGTAAAACAAGCTTCATTGGTTACCTTGTCATTAGGAGATTCTTTCTTATCTCAGCCAAACATAAATGAATGAATATTGAATGAATCTAAACGTGAAATGTACAATCAAGCACAAACATGGTTTGGCTACATCAGATAAAGGTAGCTAGTTGCAAAGTTCAGTAACTTCCAGTTATGTACAATTCAGTACCTTTCGTTGCTGCTAGTCAGAATGATGATCTCCTGCTTTTGGGTTGAGATTTCTGAATAGAATGAGGCTTTTGCTTGATGATATACATTTCACTTATTTAATAACGGAGGTTAGCAAAAAATGAGTCAGTTTTAACGTCAGTATTTTAAATTAGTTTTAGTCTTCAATCTGAGTGAGATTCTCTTCCAGGCCCTTGAGTTGTAAGACGATACGAAATAATGGTATGAGAATTGCTTCTTTCAAAGAAATTATCTTCATGTTCCAGAAAGACAGGAGTTCATAAGAGTCTTGTATTTCTTTAACAGTGATTACTGCAGTGAATATTTCACTTTAGCCTTGGGTTTTTTATGTGTGTGACTCGTTATACTAATAACATGGGTTTTAAGTGTGGAAAAAAAATGTGTAATTTGATTTTAGTTTGTTAGCATATAATTTTAAAAATTGCTTTGGCCCCTTTCACTTTTTAATGCTTATAATATTGATGTAAAATGAGTGATATTAAAAAAAGTCCTGGAGTGAAAGCATGCTGCAGATAGAGCCTTTGTAAAGTTTTTCGTGAAGGACTCAGCACTGTCACCTAGCTCCGAGGAGGCTGAGCAGTCTGCCATACTCACTGCATGGCCTGCGGAGACGAGGTAGATAAATGCAAGGTCAGCATTAGCTGTTTTCACAAATACGGTGCCAATGGTCAGCATTTGTGATTCCAAAGAGCATCTGTTGTGAATGTTTGAGATGCCACGTGTTTCTGCCAACACGCAGAGTCTGCCTCTGAGTTCTTCAGTGGCATTCTCGGCCCAAGTACATTTCCGTGGGAAGATAACGCTCACGGTAGACATTTTCATTACAACGGGGATGACGGTAATGAATCCACTTCTCTCTAAAACAGCTATTTTTATAAAGCCTCTTCAATAAAAAATTAGAATTGTAAAAATGCCCACAAATAACCAGATGCCAACTCCGTAAATTCTTCTCAGGAATAAAGTTCAGTTTCTAATATTGTGTGAAGACAGAGGAAGAAAGGGACAAAGAGGTATATGGGATAAGCAATCAATACATAATCAACTAGTAATAATGTGCCTGGGTAGGTTGTCATAGCCTGTGAGGAAGGCGTAGGTCAAATTCATTTTTTCTTTAACATCAACTCAAGCTGGTTTCTAGTACTCAAGTCCGGTGAAAGGAAATGCTTTAAAATTCCTAGCCTGGGGCCAATGTGAGCAGTGGCATGTAATGTTATTTACTAAGAACACTTGAGAAAAATAAAATCCGTAGTTTTGGCAATAACTTTTTCCCTGGCAGATAAAGTCAATAATCAGTTAATATTTTAGAAAATATTCAGGTTTACACTCATGTGTTGAGCTTTATAAGATCTTGGTAAACTAATTATTGCTGCAAAAGTCAGACATTATTCTTTTACCAACAGAAAAAAAAATCACGTAGACTATAAGCCAACATCTTCATGAAAATCTGGTTATAGGTAATTGCAGAGGGTGAAGCACCCTTAGGTTAAAGTAGTTGACTCCTCTCTACCAGATCCAGGTGATTTTATTTTTCCTTTGACACCCAACCACTACTCCCTAGGCCACACTTCTTTATAAAAACTGCTTCCCTCAAAAGCAGAGCAAACTGCTTTTTTTTTCTGAGATAAGCACTGTCAAATGTTTGGACTAAAAAACTTTGCTCATCAGAGCAGATGTAAGTGGAGTTAACACCTTACCCAGGCTGAGTCAACTTATTGGCTGGCCAGATGTCTACTGTGTACTCTCAAGTAAGAATTCCATAAAAGAAACACAGCATCTCAGGGAGATGAGATTAATTCTGCTCCCTTTGAGTGTGAGCTGGACTTAGCGACTCTTAACTAATGAGCGGCAGCAATGATGTGTGACATCAAGCTGTCATGTTTTAAGCAGCCCTACTGTGGGGCTCATGTGGTGGGTGCTGGAACCTCTGATGAGGAGTGGAGGCCTGCTAATAATCACAGTAGTGAATAGGGAGCAGGTTTCCCATCCCTTGCTTAACCTTAAGAAGATTGTAGCAGTAGTAGAAAACTCAACTGAAGCCTTGTAAAAGACTGTGAGCCACAGCAACCCCCACACAAGACACTCCTAGATTCTTGACCTACAGAAACTGTGTGAGGTAATCCATGTTTATGATTGCAGGATACTAAGCTAAGTTTTGGAGGAATTTGATATACAGCAATAGATAACTAATGAAACTGATGTTAGTGAAAAATCATGGCAGAAGCACTGTTTTTGGTGCCACATCTCTCTGTTTTTTTTTTTTTTTTCCTTTGATTCTTTGAAGGTGTCCCCTCTTCTTGACTTTTAACAATTAGTTTCTTACCACTCTGTCCCTGATCCTCTTCTGCTCTTAATCTGGTATTCAGTGATCCTATTTACGTATATAACCTTAAGTACCAATTAAGGACTTACAGATTCATTTCAAGATTTCTCCATTTTGTCACTATCAACATTCTGGGAGGGATTATCCTTTGTTTGTGAGTAGCTGTGATACGCCTCATAGGGTATTTAGTAGTATCCCTGCTCTCTAAATTCTTGATGCCAAAAATACCCTCCTCTCTTCTGGTTGTGAAAACTAAAAACGTCTCCAGGCATTCATTGAAAAGTATTGCTGGGGAGAGGGGTCGCTGCTCCTAGCTGAGAATAACCCTTCTAGACCTTCCTCCAGAGAATCAGATCCATGAATCCAATCACCAATCTAAGATTTAATGAAGGTCACCTCTGACATACTATCATGTTGTAGGCATCTCAAACTTTACATGCCAAAATATGAATTCCTAATCTCTATCTATTTTGCCCTGCTGGAACACAGTTACCTTAAGTGGTCTCCCTTTAGATGTCGACACTGTCTGCCAGTTGCTCCAAGCCTAAAGCTATCTTCACCACTGCCAGCAATGACTTACATATTCTACCACTCACTGTCTTTCCAGCTTCATCATACACAACTCTGCCCTTTAGTCATGCCTTTGAATTATCTATTTTTTTTTTTTTAGTTGTTAATTTCAGAGCGTTTTTGTACCAGTCTCTTCCCCATGTCACTGGCTCTGCACCTGCCTCTGCTTCTGCCTGGAACATACTCCGCTTTCTTCTTTACCTTGCCAATTCTAAACCATCTCTCATGTCTCAGCTGAAATGAAATATCACCTCTTCAAGAAAGCCCTCTCTGATGACCCCAGACTATGGTGAGTTCACCAATTACAATCTCAGGCAGGACCTGCCTCTCCTTTTCTTTCTTTCTTTTTTTTTTTTTTTGTATAAAAACGGCATATTCTTTATTTTGCATACTTTAATTTCAGAACAAAATGAACAAACAAAATAAAAAACCACAATACACAACATCCAAACCTGCTGTCAGAGTAGGGAAAGAATGGGGGCTTAACACCCTTGTTTCCTGCCTTCAACCGAAGGACAGGTCAGAAAAACACCAGACATCAGCAGGGGGAGCCAGGTGGGACAGGGGCACTCAAGGCTGCAGGGGGAGTCATGGGCACGCTATACAAGGGCAGTTTTCCAACTATAAACTCCTAATCTACTTCTTCCATGCGAGATGCATCCTCATCACCCTCAAGAGGAGGGATCTCATCAGGAACTGCAGCACTGGGTTCCTCTGCTGCCACTTCATCTTCATCGATACCTAGACCTAACTTGATCATGCAGTAGATGCGGTTGGAGTGGGTCTGGGGATCCTCAAGAGAAAAGCCAGAAGAGAGCAGGGCGGTTTCAAACAGCAGCACCACAAGGTCCTTAACCGCCTTGTCATTCTTGTCTGCCTCAGCCTTCTGCCGCAGCGTCTCCACAATAGGATGGTCAGGGTTTATCTCCAGGTGCTTTTTGGCCATCATGTAGCCCATGGTGGAGTTGTCCCGAAGTGCCTGGGCTTTCATGATCCGCTCCATATTGGCTGTCCAGCCATAGGTGCTGGTCACAATGCAGCAGGGTGAAGACACAAGCCTATTGGAGATTGTCACCTTCTCAACCTTCTTATCTAAGATTTCTTTCATGAGCTTGCAGAGGTTCTCAAACTTTGCCTTGCTCTCTTCCATTTTCTTCTTCTCCTCCTCATCCTCTGGTAGCTCCAGACCCTCCTTGGTAACTGAGACCAGGCTCTTCCCATCAAACTCCTTTAGCTGCTGCACGTAGTATTCATCAATGGGCTCAGTCATATATACCACCTCGAAGCCCCACTTCCGCCGCACTCGCTCCACAAAAGCTGAGTTGGCCACCTGCTCTTTGCTCTCACCAGTGATGTAATAGATGGACTTCTGTGTCTCCTTCATGCGAGAAACATACTCTGACAGAGATGTCATCTCATCTCCAGACTGGGAGGTGTGATAGCTATCACTGCCTCTCCTTTTCAACAACGGAAACTGAAACTATTTTATTTTTGTAACTCTAATTTTAGTATTCTTTCCATCACCAATAATTTTAGCTGCATTGGTAAAGGTACCATGTCCATATTCCTTTGCTTCTACGTAGCTTATACCTAGATCACTGTCTGTTAGATACTTAGAAAATATTTGTTATTTAAAAAAATGGCTAAATGAATACACCAAGTGGCACAAGAATTTTGCTGTTCATGCTACTGAAGTCTGGAGGTGACCCTAGAGGGATTTATGATATCATAAGTATCACTTTTAATAATTATTTTGTACAGACATCTTTTATTTTATAATTCTGGAAATGAATGCTAACTTTAGGTGTGAGTTTCACTATTCTTATAAATGACATAGAACATGATTAAACAATAAATCATAAAACTGTTATTGGAGTTAATGAACCAACTAGTAAAACTATATTTAACATGAATAGTAATATGTAAATGGAGAGAACTTTTATTCTGATAACTGTCAAAATACTTCAATTATACAGTATAAATGGATAGGCTTTTTTCTTCCAGTAATTATAATAAAAAACCACAGATATATTTGAGTACATTAAAAAATTTCTAGGTGACTAAAAGTGACACCATAATTAAAATTTTAAAAAACTGACAGGTATATATGATGAAGTCTTATTATCATCATATTTAAAAACCCTTACAAACTAATCAGAAGAAGACAAATTATTTATTAGAAATAAGGGCAAGGAAGAAGAGAGTATGTGAAAAACAGAGATCAACAATAAATTGTTTTTGAGTGAAAAAATACTAGAATACTACATCCTGATTTATAATAGCAAAATGTTGGGAAAAACTTATAGATCAAATGAAAGAAGACTGTTTAACTACCTGTATCTCTATAATATTTCTATTTAGAAAATAAAATTGAGAATATAAATGTATATTTGTGGCCATGGTGGCATGGGGATGTTTATAAACATAATCCCCTATGTAATTACTTTCACAGTTAAATGGTAAAGAAAAGGTTACGAAATGTGGATGATACCATTTTCATAAAATATTTGTGCTGTATATATGTACGTAGAAATAGGTTAGACAAAATCATGCTAGTGTGGTGATCATGTTTAGGTGATGAAATCCTATTATTATTTAATTCTTATTGTTTAGGCTTAGTATTGGTCTACATTGTTTATAATGCATATCTATTTCTCTTATCATCAGAAAAAGCCAGATGTATTATGGAAAAATAAGCCCCAAATCAACTTTAATTATTTTAGACCTATTTTTCAGAAAACAGAACGTATTTTAAGAATTTTATTCCCAAGATTCTGTCTGCTGGAAATAAAAGTTGAAAGATAATAAAACTTGCTACCATATACTTTCTAAACTTTTCTTCCAATAGCTCATAAAGACTTTGATACTAGCTTTTAATAAAAAAATTTTGCATTCTTTCTGCAACTATCAATGTTGAATTTAGTATTTTAAACCTTCCTAAAACTCATCCATCACATTAGTAAGGAAAATTGGAATATGCCTTACTATTCCCAATGAAAATTAAAGCCATCTGCTAATTTTGTAATAACTTCACCTAAATGTTTTGCAAAATCTTGCTGTAACTTGAGTAAGCACAAGAAAAGAAGCAAACACAGCCTCAGACCTTCTTTAATCTTTGGCTGAGAACCACGTGGTGGGGACCATGCCATCAACAGAGGCACAGGGGACTTCTTCAAAAAATAAATTGTCTTGTTTGTCCCTGAATTTCGTTTCAGTTTCATAATGGTTTGCAAATGAGGTGGCCTGCTTCAGCGGGGTAGAGGAAGACTGCTGAAGCACCATTTTATCTTTCTTTTGCCACAAATTTTCTGCTGTGAACCCTAAGGGCCAAATTTAGAAATGTAGATAAACCAGATGTGCTCATAAAATTGAATGCATACCTGTGCTGCCTACCAAAACAAAAACAAAAACAAAATCCCCAAAGTTTCCCATTGCACAATATTCTGATTTCCTGGTGTTGCCTGCTGTAATGGTCCCGGCAGGCAAACTTTCTTCCCCATCTCCTGAGAAGGCTGGCAGCGTCAGCTTTGAGAATGTTAGTGATGAGGCCTTTGCAAATAAGCACAAGTCGCATTATGTCAACTTCAAATGAAATCATAACACAAAAACAAAACATTCATAAATTGATAGAAATTATAGAGCATCAAATGAGATACAAGAATTTTATCTCCTTATTTGTATGTTCTTTTCTCCCTGTCTATAAACATATGTTTGCACATGCTGTGTATTGATAGATTAACATATAAAATTACAACATTGCATTTGCAACACTGTAGTTAAGGTTGTCTTCACATTCATATTTCTGAGGTTTTATATCTGAACCATAAACACTCTCTGGGCTGAAACTTGGCATACAGAGCAAAACTAGAAATTCGTTCATTTTTCTCCTGTACAAAAAGAAATTTCACAGAAATGCTTACATTTTTAAAATCATGATTTTAGTTGATAAAATAAAATACTTTTTAATAGTTGACCTATAATAATTCAAAGCAGAAAAATGATCAGTCAGTGTGTTTTGTATCATTGCCTTCATATTGTACTACATTAGGAAAAACATAGTATGTGCCTTTAAATATAATAATAGTTTTAAAAAATTTTATGATCATTTGACTACAGAAAAGTTCACTAATGACATTTTAAATTAAATATTTTTTTAAAAATCCAAAAACAGCATAAGAAAGCCACTTAATTTAGGTGAATTAAACATGGCACTTGACATAACTGACTCAAAGTGACTTTAAGCATTTTAATGTTTTTAACCAAATAAATATGAACACTGCTTAAGTAAATATTCTGAATCAAAATTTTTAAAATATTGTTTTGGAGGAAATGCGTTAATCAATTCTATCAAGGAGAGTGACACTATTTTGCAATAGAGAGTTCAGCATTCTATTTTGAAATAAATTTTTCAAAAGTATTTCAATCTTGAAACTAAAGCTTCAAAAGTCAAATGTATTGATTGGTTACATGATTTACTGTACATTGTTGAAGTTCTCAGTATTCTCTTAATTGTTCTGAACACTGATTGCTTTAACCAGGTTGTTTGTTTGTTTGCATAGACTCTACTTTCATTTATTAGAAAAACATATTTTGAAAATTAAATTTCCCTGTAGGAACAATGGGTAAAATACAAGCATATGTTTTTCAAATCACGTAGTTTGTTTAATACCTAAAATATATCTTTAACTCATTTTTCAAAACTTTCCAACCATTCTCAAAAGACCTTTTCTTTATTACTTTTTAAATGTGGAAAGTGAGAAAAATGTGTATTTTTTGGAATGTGGGAGGCATGTTTATTCTCAATTAACTGTGAACCATATGGAATAAATTTCTCTTATAATACCAAACTTCAAAAATTCAGGTAAGTAACGTATGGCTGAGATCCTTTAGAGGTTTGCACAGTGAATTTGAAAAACCAGTTATGATATTTAGTGATCCTAATATGTTCATTTTCAATGATGTAAATATACATCAGAGCATGGAGGATAAAATAAATGATGCATTTTCCAAAGTTGGAAACACTAACTTTTGACTTACTGCCTCAGCATTGCTAAATTATGTACTCATCCCCAAAAGTTCTCTTCTTTCCTAACTTGTGTGGTTGTGGACTCCTGGGTACTATGACGTCACATGGGTTCTACTGCCCTGGAGCCTGGAGTGCATATGATGTAGTTGGCTCCACATCCTTTACCCTTCACTATGCTAAACATTTGGACTTGCTTACACTTCACTGCCCAGGAGCAAATGCTTCATGTCATAATCCCCTGTAGGCTGAATCTGAATGAGTTACCATTCAAGAGGAAAGCTAGTGATGGTTTGAGTCAGAGAGAACCAGCAACGGTAATACAGGGTAGAAAGTTGCTTTTATTCAAAATTACACACCAGGACTTTATGTACTGTTCTATAAAATATGCTTTTAACAATCCTACTGTTTTTCTTACGGCAGAAATATGTTATTTTTCTTGCCTCAAGGTAGCACTTTCAAGATGCAAATGACTCCAAAATTCGCATATTCATACCCGAAGTTATCTGCTGGAAAAGTAGATGGTTTCTGGAATATTTATGTCTCTACTTATAGTGAGTAGGCATTTTGGACAAGCAGGAATTTCTTTAACAAATGTAATAAGCTCTGAATTATAGAAAATGATTCTTAATTCATTTTTTCTAACTGTCCTTCTATACGTTATGAGATAAACAAATTTCCGAAAGCTAATTGTTGGATCCTTTTCTTAGAAAATAGTAATTTATGACAGATGTCCTTTCGTGCAGATAAGAGAAAGAGTAATAAAGCACCATGCTAGTTGAGAACAACACTTAGAACATGTACAATGCTTAACATGGTCCTTAGTGTAGGGACTGAGTGATGATAGCTAAATATATCAGTGCAGAAATGAATAAGTGCACAGTTAGGTGTTGAGTTTTGAAGACAGATGACATATTTACCTATTAATCTCCTGCAATTTTTCTTTTTTTTACATGGAGTCTCACTCCGTTGCCAGGCTGGAGTGCAGTGGTACAATCTCCACTCACTGCAACCTCTACCTCCTGGATTCAAGTGATTTTCCTGCCTCAGCCTCCTGAGTAACTGGGACTACAGGCATGCCCCACCACATCCAGATAATTTTTGTATTTTTAGTAGGGTTGGTATTTCACCACGTTGTCCAGGATGGTCTCGATCTCTTCACCTCGTGATCCACCCATCTTTGCCTCCCGAATTGCTAGGATTACAGGTGTGAACCACTGCACTGGGCCAATCTCCAGCAAATGTTTTTAAGGTACAATAATTCTGGGAGACTGGAAAACTCAGCATGTGGATATTATTCTGTTTACCTCACTGCTGGCTTTGTGTGCATATTTGTCATGTGCTAGTTAGGTTAGCATGTTGTTTAATTTTATGTCAACTTGGCTGCTGTAGTGCTGCTCCAATAGCTGATAAA